GTTGAAGTTAGAGGATCACAGATCGGATCAAAATGGCGTACTAGTTAAGTCGGGACACCTTTGAATAAGTTGTTCGCTTAGACAACTGCCACTTGATATTTGTCCACTTCTGGGGAAGCTTGCTACTCTGCAAGAGCACCTAACGAATAAATTAACAAAATAGCAAAATTAAATGCTTCCAATTTCTCTGAAAATAGTTGGAAATTTGAAATCCACACTGATGGTGCTTTGTTTTGCAGTTGTTTTGACAATTCTTGAAAGATTGGATAGGTAGGTAATTGCAACAGAAACGCAGCGGAACCACTGAAGGGAATAGTTGGCCCTTTATGAATGGAGTTAGTTATGATTTCCTGCAGCTTTCAAGTAGCATCGTCTGGGTGATCCTTGCAATGTCTCACAGCTTATGCCACTAAGATGAAGTATTTCGGGGTAAAGCAAGAGAACCACCTGGCAATGCAATGTTCTATTTTGGCTTAAAAATTTACATCAAATGCATATTTCCTGTTAATAAACAACTTTAATCCTTGTTAATGTTTGAGCTCATTCTTAGTCGATCTTTTGCTGCTTTCTAGGTGTAGCTCCCCTCTTGTTTCCCAAAATGATGGAATACATGTATTGCCAACCAACGTGGAACAGCTGCTGCAACAACAATAACAGCAAGAACGACGACAGCACAATCGTCCAAAGTGTATGGACTTTCATTCAAGTTTAATTTTGCTCACAGTCACGTGACCAGTCTACCTATTTCTAAACAAATGCGCATACGTGGCTAAGACTAGTTTGTTTATAGTGATTCAGTAACATCCGAGGTCTGGATGCTTACAGTTGTTGAGCTTATGGAAATAAGCAGCGAATGAAACTCCGGGGCAGCATGGTTGTGGGTGACTTCCATCTTTTCAGGATACTGTTCCTGATCTCTGCACCACTTCCAGCGACATGACTAATGACTTAACCGATCTTGTGCCCTCGGCCTATACGTGGGGCTCTCGAGGACCTTCACCCGATGGAGACTTGGGACTTACTGTCGCCGCCTGTGGAGCCGCCGTGGCTGACGTTGCGGCGTGGAAGTGCAGTGCATTTGACCTTCTTAACGGAAGCTCAATGAGCAGTCCCTCAGTAGCTGGAGGTGTTGGTATGTCAAACTTAATTTTCAGCATTCAGGAATGCTTAGAATGACCCTTGAATGGGATGTCGTGTTAGAGTTCTTTCTGAGGCTTAAAATCCTGAACGTAAGGGAGGAATGAAGCATTGGTGAGGTGAACGGCCGCGTGGTGGAACGTGCAACGGAACACGCATAGCCTTGTTACGCTTTAGCGGTCTTGCTTCCCCTTCAGTCGTAAAAACCCTCCATTGGCCAAAAAATTAATTGATAAACACGAAGACAAGACCTTGTGGTGCATGTTCATATCATAAGGAATAATATGGAAAGGAGGAATAAAGTCCAGAGAGTGGTTTACAATAAGCATATTTCGTGTATCGAGAGATTTGCATGGAAGCCTTCACCTTACTACAGTATATGCCAAGGGGTGATATTGCGAACTCGAATACTACTAATAATAAGCATTATCATGGTGATGCAAACTGGAGACCGTAAAAGTGCTGTGAACAGTGCTGTAGGCGTGGCTTTGATTCAGTTAACTATGGCCTCTTCTATACACTGAACAGCTAATCACTAAAGATCATTGTATTTCTTTTTAAGATAAAGTGTACGTGATTTTTATAGCCTCACCTCGGAGTTTTCCTGATTTCGGGAATTTGTGGGTAACATCTTTCTTTAATGGGTGCGCTATCAGGTGCGTTAATCTTCACAAGTCTTCGTTGTGCATGATCTGAGCAGAAAGTTGTGCTTTCACTCTGTAGACTGGATAGTCAAATGAGGAGGCACGCGAATTCCATCACACTGTCCACTCTTTTAGTCTTTCATCCCTCCCTTGTGCTGTAATATGGTTGGGGCTTTGGATGATAGACACACTACTTTACGCCAGCATTTGCGAAATGCTTCCCACTGTAATGGCAATGGGCTGATGATAGAAGTTTTGGGTCTAGTGACTGCGCTGTTTACGCATTCATTTGCCTTGCCTTTTACAACTATGTGCATGTGATGTAGGTAGAAAAACAAAATGACGGTTGACCTTCTATTGTGCAGACACAGTTGCTTTTGGTCCCTTGGGTTTTGTTGAACGAATTTGCTAGAAATTTTTACGCAATACCAAGCTTTGTAAACCTGAGGGGGTCAACCTGTCAATTTCTGTTCACCTATTTCCTTCTAGTTTGCTGTTTTTAAAGAGTTGCTGAGTTTACCTGAAAGGCGAACCCTTTACTACTTTCTTGTAGTCTTTGGCCTCGAAATTTGCTGGTTCTACCGGCTCTCCAGTGGCATAGAATTTATCGGTAGAGTTATCGAAATTACGTGTAACTGAATTTATTCACCTCGAAAGATTGCGGTGTAACTTCACAATTCCAGCCCCGTATGCTTAGGGTGTCTGCAAATGGACAACGAGCGTAGCATTTTGCCGATGGAGAATCCCTTCCAAGTCAAATAGTTAAGAAAATGTTGAAAAAACTGGGAGTCCATTGACATATGGTATTAAGGATTGTGTTCTTGCTTAGCCATTCGTCGTAGCGCTATAAATGTCACTAACACGACGATTCACCAGACCAGTAGCATTCAACATCTGATACTTCTTGTAATTAATACAGCTATAGTTGCTACTTAACTATTTTACTACTTATTCAGAATGGACTCGTTTCCTCTATGTTCCCAAAGGGCAACTTGTGGTTGGTTTCAGAGACGAGCGAGTTGATTCCTCTTTCAAATCTTTTTCACAGCTCTGGTACTGTCAGCTCTGCGTCAAAGTGAGCTTAATCCGTGCCTTCGAGTGCCCTTCAATTTGTGGCGATCCGCAATCTTTGCCTGCTCCAAGCCCCTCCCTCATCTCTCCCCCTTGGAGCAAGGGGCTGGACTCTTTCAGGTGGGGGCCACTTACGAGTTTCTGCGGGACATCATTAGGTGCGTGTTAGTGGCTGTCCAAATTTCGACTTGTTTAATAGGCTTGATTGTTTTCAATGACACTTTGCGTTCTCATGATCGGCACTAATTTGATCTAGGGTTAATAGAGAAATTTATGTAGGGTAGGAGGGGTAACATTCAGGTTTGTGAGAATGTGCTCAGTTCGTACGATTTATTGCAAGTTTGGGGAATGAAGGTATGCAGCGAATTTCACATAACAATCCACTGTCGTTTTTTTTCTTTTATTTTTTTCATGCCATTTACGTTACTTCATTTCCAGACTTCTTAGGCGCCTCAGTTGTAATGAGTCTTCAAATCGACAGAACTTAATTTCTCTTACCAACCACAAGCTTCCTGTCTAAGCGTTTCTGCAGATGGGTGCTGTACGAGGGTTAAGGATTGATAGCAGCGCAGATTGTATGGTTCGCATAGTGCTGATAGACTACACGAAAACTTAAAACCCTTGAAAGACTCACACAGACTTGAATTTTTGCTTTGGTTACAGTGGTCGGACAACCTTATTCCAGGCTCTAACTAAATAATCCAAATATCTTACAACATGACTACTGTCCTTCATTGTTTCGAAAAGGTTCGCATTATGGTGATTACACTCGAACCTAAAGTTGTTAGCAGTAAACTTGGAAATTGGACGATCATACAAGGCGAAGCAGTTAATCATGCCATCGGGATGCGGTTGTCTTGCGTTTGCGTTATTCACGTTGACATTGGAAACAGGGGATATGGAGCCGTATTCATCAGTTGAAATGGGTCGAACGGCTTGAACTTGGTTTTGTGCGAGAGGTAGTGTCACTAAGGCATCAGCGTGGGATGGTAATTCAAATGACAACCATACCCAGCATCCTGGGCAAGGAAGATAACTGATTTTATGAAATTCTGGCACTGCCAGAACAAGTTATTCAATTCATGCTAGATATTATTGTCGTTTTTGTGAAAGCTTGCTGCAAGTAAAGTAGGATGCAAAGCGCATAGATAGTTAAAGCTGACGGTATTTCTCCTGAGATGCGCGCACAGGAATTGCTCGAGCTACATGTACATGGGTTACCGCTGAGGCAAATACTCATAACCCAGGCCATCAAGCTATGGAGTCCTATGTATTTTGCTTCCCTTTGTCCACAGAAAGTCACACGTTGGTCAGCGGGTGTTAGGGGAATTTGCATGTGCATCAAGGGCACCAATCGTTAAGTGCAACAGAGCTTGAGTCTGTTAATTAGTTTGTAAGATGGGTATAAGAAGGAGTTATAGTTTGACATTTTACCACAGTCCTCTAAGGTGTAATCATTCTTATCAAGATGGATAACGAAGGCATCCCCTTCTGCAAAGCAGTGATCAGCTGAAGACAATTTTGTCTAGTCATTATTCTTTCGGAAGGTGAACACGTAGTAGTTTATGGAGTTTTGCAGTTGTAGGAATTTCTAGCATCATGACAGAAGATGTGGCGTTGGCGCATTAGAAGGACTGAGGGGATATCGACCTTGCTTGAGTTCCGCATCACCGAGCGACGGCACAACATGCGAGGACTCAAGCATCCAAATAGTTCCTGCGATTCACACTAAGTTGTTTGAAAGTGTTACAATTGCACTGCTTTGGGTGAATTCTTTGCAAACTGTCCCATCGTTGTTCAGTGTGTTACTTTTTTTTTCACATGCAAAGACGTTGAGGACTGAGGGTAACAGCAAGTTAACGCATTTTTATGTTAACTGCGGTGTGGGCAGAATCACCTTTCCCTAATGTTAAGTGAAATTCCCTTATTTTGTAAAATGATGCTAATTTTATGGTGTTACTGGGTGATGAGCGGATTGTAATTTTAACCCTCTCCTCCCCTTAATGCCATGCTAGTGGCACATGAACGGTGGCTTATGTTCTATATGAGGTTAAAATACTCCATACTGATTGCGTTTCATTGCAGCGAAGAAGTGTGTTGTAGGTGTTTGAAAATTTTTATTTGAAATAGGTTAATAATAGTTGTGAATTTGCAAATCACTATGCGCAATGTCGAGGCATCCTCGAAATAGCGCACTGGTTCTACGGTGGCTGTGCTCAGCGTAAATCTCATTGGTCGATTTGTCCCACTTTCGATGCTTGATATCAATCTTGTTTCTCACATACTCTAGGTCTTAGGCTTTTTTATTTGTGATTATTGCTGTTTTGTTATTTTGCAAACAATATACTACCTACTTTTTTGTTATAGCATTGCATTAGATGAACTCATTGATACCACCTACTGAGTTTGGGCCACTGAGATTTTTCTGTTTTATATTTTTGTGGATTCTGATGTTATTGAGACAAACTTTGGTGAAAGTCTTGAACTTTGAACCACCTACGTAATGGTAAAATAATTTTTTAACATTTGCCTTAACTTGCATCCACTTTACTACACAATTGTTGACTACTTTTCATCTATAGCTTGAATCCTCAGTTTAGAACGCTTGTCATTTGTGTCTCCTTTAATTGATCTTGGCTACTAATGGAATCAACTCTCCAAATACTCTGAGCTTGACCTACCTTTTACGATTAAATAGGGAGGTGTGCCCAGTTGCGGTAATTGTCCATAGTCGCTACATACATTTCCTATATTTCGCAAACAGGCCCAAACCAACTCCACCAGCACCACTGTCACAGATTAATCACATAGAGTCGCTACGAGCTCCAGAGACAGCGTCAGCTCAGCTTAGCCGATTTTCTGGTTGGTGGCTGAGCTGTCATGTCAGTGGTCCTGGATGCATTGTGGAGAACTCTAGAGGTCTTCACAGTCGAGGAATTTGGCTTCGACGAGGTTGGTTGCCGTTCTCCCATGACTACAATGGTGGCTATCAGTCCCTGCCTCCCAAAATGTCCTACACTATCCATCTGGAACCAAAATTCAGCAATGTGAGTAAAATATTTCTGTTTCAAGTACCAAATGCATTAATATGCTATTACGTTAGATAGGGTCTAGGTGTTCTGCATGACGAATCTGCTTCCAAGCTAGAAAAAAGGTAAAAAAGTGGTGAAGTATAAGAATTGTAATGGGGATTTACTTGGTTCGTCGGCCCCATAAAATCTATTTTGTGGACCCGCTTGATCAGTACCGCTTAAGGCTTTATGACAGGCTCCAAGATGTGCCGTCAGCGTGCTAATCCAAATAAACAAATTAATGACACTGAAGTTGAGAGGACCCTCGATGGAGTTATGCTCTCTGCGATTTTTACTTATGTGCTTGCTATTTTCATGTTTCTAGCTCTCCTGATTATGAGTTTTGCACAAAAAGAAGTGCTGTGCTTGGATGACTCCCTCCCTGAAAATCCCATGCAAAAATCGCATTCTATTCCTTTAATGTCGTTTTTTCTATATTGTCCCAGCCCATTGCCCTCCGTTAGAAGGCATTCTGTAGGAACGAAAACAATGTGCATGAAAGTTCTGATGTCGTTTTTCCACTGTTTCAGCTGTCCACATTGGGAGCTTTCTCCGACGGTTAACATTTACCAACATTATTTTTTTGAGTTTTTAGGTCTTGAGAAAGTGCTTTGCTTCTACCAGCCAAGCACATCAGCCATTTCTTAAGACATTAGTGTGTCTAAATGTGTTAACTGCTGTGTTATTGGCGCAATGTCGAGTTTAATACATGAACCACTAGAAATGCTTACGTAGTAAGGTTTGCAATCCTCATTTTGGTAAATTTTAGCTAACGAAACAAATACATCGAGTAGACAATGTTTTTTTACACAGTCATCAACAGCTATATCATTTAATTGAATGAATATTTCTCAACATGAAGCACGAATTTGACCTTCTTTGAAAGTCGTTTGCAGCCTCTGCACTGTCTCCATCACACACACTTTTGTCGTCCAGTCGTATAATATTAGTGCCTCAAGGCTTCCTTGACGAAGAAATAAGGCATAAACATCAGCGTGAATATCTTCTATTGATGTGCTTAGGGCTTGGAGACACTGCCGTAGTCAATTATCCTTCAGAGACACAACGACGGACCTCTCAGTACTGCGGTATCGAAACCGAGGGTTAAACAATAAACCCAAGTACAACTGGTAGCATTTTTTATTGCACTTTGTCTAAGTGTTTTTTTTAGGTGACCTTTTCTCATCGGAAGTAATGTTCTTAAATTAGGATATCATTGGGTCGTGTTGGCTAGGTACTTTCGTGTTCAGCAGGATTATTCCTTGAGCAGGACCACCTGTTAGCCGGTAAGTGATGAATAGTGGTGAGACGGTAAAAAGGATGCCTGTCAAGGTGGTTGGAGATAGATTTCAGTTTCAATAAAGGTGTCAACGCTTCGGTTGAGGGCGGTTTCTGGAGGACACCCACGTAACAGCGGGATTGGCAAACGAAGGAACTGGACAGCAGTTGTATGAAATTAATTTAGCTTCTCGATCAACCCGTTGGGCTTTCGTTCAGTTAAGATGGCTGAGATCTCTTACCATAAGCGTTTTGACAAATTTGATACGATGTAAACATGGATCAGTCATTTTACACAACAACTTCCTATAAAATCTATTCAGTGAAACAGTCATCCTCTATAACTCATATCTTGGCTCTTTCCAACGAGAAAATGCTTACTTTGCCGTACCTTTTTTGTCCACATGGAATAGTACAATGGCTTGATTAGCTGATAATCCCTTTCAGCTTGAAAAATGCTCTTTCAACATTGAAACCAAAAAGTATTCTTAGTCCCACAGGCCAGTTCTTTTGAGAATATGATTTCCCTCTAACTGGTCGGCTAGCGTAGCTCTTTCTTGTGCATCATCAGCCTTTGAGAGGAGGGAGGGGCAACAATGCTTAGCTAATCATCTCTTCTCAAGTCTACCGCAAGAAAAAAGCTGCGTTGTTTCGTTTAATCGCTTAGAGATGGAGCAAAAGTTGGAAGTCTTTCCCTTTCACAACTTGGTTAATTAGCAAATGGTGTAGAGTGAATGTTGAGTTTATTGCCTTGCGTAAAAGGCTTTAAGTATAGGTTGATGGTGTCTGAAGTTGTGTTTAATGCATGTGAATTAGATCTGCGCACGTAGCTTCCACCACGACCTTCCCACTCAATGTGATGCAAATGAAGGTTTTTTTTTCGTCAACGCAAAGCACTACGAATTGCTGCGTCCAATGGGTTAATCTCGTGATTGTTCTCTGATGTGGTGCATTTATCATTTAGGAATTTGCGGCCAATGATAAAGTTCTTTTTTTAATAATTTGTGTTCCTCTCCCTAGCGTCATACGCATAATCTGACACTTTCAGCCAACTTTTTACGAGGGGTGACTTCGGTGAATTTAATAGGAAAGGAACAACGGAAAGCAGTATCCTGCTTTATAATGCGGTTATGGTAGTAATCGCATATACTTACAACATAGCTACAAGCCTCTTATTTAGCAAATCGTTTATTGGTAGCAGTTAGTTGGTTGAACGTGAACTTAACCAAAAAGTAGTTGTCTGTTAGTTCTCCTTAATTCACAAATGACGTGCAATAAAATGTGGAGGTTCGTTTAGTATTGAAGTCTACAATTTCATGCAATTCACTATCCCGTGGATAGGAGCACAACTAGAAATGTCCCAGACAAGTAGTTAGGTGCAAATGGTTGGATCATCCTTCCTTTTGAACAACGCCTTTGCCACTCCTCGGGGGTATCAAGGTTGCCGACGTCACATTTTCTTTTCAGGTTTATTTGTTGCAGTTCATTTGTGCAATTTTTTTACTAAGGTTGTTTTTTCCATGTGAACATTCTTTTTCAATCGTAGTTCGTAAAATGGGTACATGTGGTTGGTTGCATTGCAAGTAGTTTCATTCGCGTTCAGTCGGTGCGTAGCTTCATGACGGTTATTTATAGCTTGCAATGCATGAAGCTTCAATGGATTCAGTTGTCCACAACGCAATTCTTTTAAAGCATATCAGCTAGCAATGAAATTCGAATCATTATCTGCTAGGCGTAGGCCAACTCAACACTGTTACGACTGTGGGGCTTGAGTTAGTCCCAGAGACATCACAAAGCATGTGAGTGTGGTAGCAGCTTCAAAACGAATGTACAAATAGGATGCACGAAGGATGCGAAGACCGGTGCAGATCTGAGCTTGCAGCCAGTACATTCGATGAGAATGTGTTGTTCTGTTGTGTTTGACTCAATCAGCCGTGTTCACTTGTCTTTCAGACAATTTCAGCAGAGTTTCGGCGCAATTTCAGCCTGAATCTCAGCGTACAAGTGGGATATCAGCGTTCCAACACTGGCGACAATGTAGAGCATCCAAATTGGTTGCATGTCGCACCCTTCGTGATGCTAGCCAGTCGCAGTCGTACTTTGCCCCTTTTCATCGATCCTGCCGCCTTCAAGGAGGCGCCCACAGAGGTCGTGGAACTCAACCCTCCATCACGGGTGTACCATACTTGTATCGCTTTTGCCAATGCAGAGTCGACACAATGCGAGCTGCTCGCTCTTCTTCCCATTACAATTCAGTTGCCTGCAGTGTAAGTTGCATTTACGTTTCCTGCGCTGCCTCTTTTCATTAATGACATAGTCTACCAAGTACTTCAGACTTGAAAGCACTGGTATTGTTATCCGAACTTCATGCCGAATTAAAAACCTACATGCAAATGTCATTTGCCTAATAGAATTGAGAGTAATTTTGTCTGAACTTGGAAATGGCATCTTTCCAGTGCATTGGGCTACGTCTTGTAGAACCCGCTTCGACGTTTATAATGGGGTGCATAGCTTTGGGTTGTGCGGTGATTTCTCGTACACTCAGAAGGTCTGCCGATGGTTTGTTCGCATTCCTCGTGGCTCTACGGCTGGAGGTATGTCATATTTCTCATAACATTCGTTCTGCTGATCAACCAAGCTACCGAAATTGCATAGTTCTGGCATAGCTGAATATGGAAAATATTGTATCAAAATGGTTGAGTTTTAAAAACCAAGTTAATATGTAAAACAGGCTTTGCTTCTAGCTATGTATACTTAGGTGATCCGGCGATTTCGTATATCGCCCAACAGTAACCAAATTCAAAATGTTAATGGAAGTTAAGGGCCTCTTATAAATCACTTCGTCTAAATTTCAGCCTTCAAGACGTACGACCAAGAATACTATAAAAATAAACTATCTAGCCAAGGGTAAAATCGAACTTCCAATTTCAGACATCCTTTAGGTTTTAGACTTTAATTAAGATGACATCCACTGTCTCCTATAGATCACAAACCAAATGGTTGCCATGACTTCACGAGTCATTTGACCGCGTTATGAGCACTTTCTATTCCTTTACCTCTTTTTATGCTGAACTCAACAGTTCTACGACTTCGTCGTGTGGACTCAGATGGTGATGTTCCTTGTATGTTTACCATCTCCGTCGTACAACCAGCACCTCTGGGAAGCGCGCAAGGTACAGGCTACGAGGTGGTGCACCGACGAATCAACCTCGTCAGTCGCACAGCCGGCGGCGTAGGCCTGACGGGACGCAACGACCCGCCACCCGCCTATGAGGCCGCTTCTGCTGACTTTGTCTTCGCCTTTGCCATAGAATGGGTGTGCGATTGTGTGGAGGTAACCGTAGCCCAACATCATGGCTGTGATACGCCAACCGCCTGTCGTATCAGTGGACGGTTAGAATTTCATGGGTTGGAAGTGAGACCAGAAAAGCTTGTCTTTGTGAGTTTTGTGTGGTTATGCTCTTTGTGCGCTGAAGATGAGTGGATTTGAGAATTTTTGTCTGCTTCTTTGTACATGTCAGTTTAGCATTTCATCCATTCATTCACTTCATACTCGTCTATTCGCACACTTTTTCATTTGCGCTCCATAAATTGATCGTCAATGGTGCAACTTTGCTTTTCTGCTAAGGAAAGGGAGAGGGGGAGAGAGAGTGAGTGAGATCTGTTCCAAATCTTTGCTTTCTTGACGTCATTAGATTCGTTGAGCTCCTTTTCTATCTCACAATGATTACGCTTATGCTTCTTCCTCTATCCAGAGGCTGCCCTATCTGAAACTTATTATAAAACTTTCCTTAAAATCTTGCATTCAGCGGAGACTTATTCATGTCACTAAACTGCATTCATTAAAATTTTCATTGTTCCTTGAAATAATTGTGCAATTATTTGGCTTTTTAAAATGATGTAGCACTTAGTATGAAAATTTTAAAGCACCTTTTCATTCAGCAATTTGAAAGTATTGGGATTAGCTTGAACTTTGCAAGCAATTCTGGTGGTTTGGTAAGTTGTGTTAAGGGTAAAATTTGGTAATGATCTCGAAAGAGCATTTTTTGCAACTACATTTTGTTATCATTGATACATCGTCTTCACCTTTTTAGCACTCCTCTCAAACATACTTTCCCATTTCTTTGCGCTCAAATTTCGGCCTTGAAAATATCAAATTGGATCTTGAATCGAAGTACTGGATACAGCCTGTCAGGTGAGTTTCAACTCGTGGTCGAAAACAGATTTGCTTGGTTATTTCAATGATTTCTACACGGGCACTAGAATCCAGAACCATTTGATGCATAAACGGAGCTTTTGCTTCAAAGTCAAGACATCAGTTTTTAATTTTGTGGACAGATGTTTGTTCAGTCCCTAAGTAAGTAATAACTTCAGTGGTCGTGGTGAACGGATTGTCTTTGAAAATGACTTCCACTAGCCCAAGGTGGCTTCTGTTTTTTATCCTATTTTTTAACAATGCTTTTTGTTCTCTAATCATCAACGTAGTGTCCCTACTTTCCACATTCCATGTCGGCTAACTCGGTATAGAGCTACATGTCAAGGTTGGAGAGTGGTGGCATGTGGGGTGGTGCTGTAGAAAATCCACTAAAGTGCTCTACTGGAATTATTTCAGTGTTTATGTGGGTGTGCTTGCGCTTAACTTGGTAGTGGATTTGAATTTTGCTGTCAGTCATTTATCACCAAATAATTTGCCAACCTTTTAGCACTTTTAATTAATCTTCTCCTCTATCCTCATTTAGGTTCACTGACAACAATAAGTAGTGCTGTTTTAATTGTTCCCCACATTGTTGAGGTGATTTTGCTTACCCATTTCATTCTTTAGTGTTGATAGAATTGGTGGCGTA